CTTATTGCCATCTGAGGCCCAATCCCCCAGGGAGCAGGCCTAAGCCAGCAGGTTGTCATCCCCTGAGGGGTCCCAGACTGCGAGAGGGCACAGGCGGGGCTGAGGGACCCCCCTCCCCCGAGTGCACAAATTTTTGTGCACCGGGCCTCTAGTCTATATGTATAAAAGCATAATATGCCAATTAGATCAGATATCCTTCTGGACAACCTTCCCGACGAAATGGGCTGTGAGGGAAGCCCGGGTCATGGGTGCCTGCTGGCGGCCGGAGGGAAGCCTGGGTCCCGGATGCCTGCCAGCGGCTGAAGGGAAGTCCGAGTCCTGGGTGCCGGAGGGAAGAAAGGTCTACTTTTGCATGAATTTCATGCATCTGGCCTCTAGTCTACAATAATAATCTGCTTCATGTTGATAATTTACTGCTGTGTTGGGGAAAAAACCATATTAAAAACAAACACTTCTAAAAAAAGAAAATAAAAGCTACCTCTTCTGATTGTCTTCCCTCCCAGGGAAGAGTAGGAGCAGGCTTGCTTAGAATTACTGAGATGTCTCACCTTAATTTTTTTTTTTTTTTTAGTGAATGTTTAAGTAGGGCAGGATTGTAAAGGATCTAAAATTTAAAATGAAATGTTGTGGTGTCAGGGTTAGGAAATATCCCCAATTCATCTGTTGTTACTTCTCTTGCTACAGTTAGAATCTTTTAGATTTGTTGCACCAAATAAAGATGATGGGTCAATTCCTTCCTTTAATATTAAGAACAACTACTCCTTGCAATAAGAACAAGAGTTTTCTCCTCTTTCAATATCATTATTTAAGATAGTAAACACTTACTAGGTATCTGTCCCAGGTTCTGTTATTAGGGTAGGTACTGCAGATCAAGGATGATTAAGACATGATCTATGTTCTTGAGTAACTCACAATCTAGTGAGAGAGAATAAGTAAAATGCAAACAAACATGAGGATATAATGTTTTGGATTGACTTTTTTTTTTTTAAATCCTCACCCAAGGATATTTAGTTAAAAATAAAGGGTTAAAAGTAAGGGTAATGATGGATGTGAGTGTTGAGGTGGTTTGAACCAGTTTATGGGCGTTAACCTAGGTGTCACTATGGGGCCTAATATATTCGTTAGTATCTCAAAGAGAAAATAAATGATGCTGTTGAAATTTATAAAAGTTAGATAAAACTGGCTAATTATAAGGGATATGTACTCAGAATTTTCCCTTTGGGCTCAGTTATTTACTTGTCAAACCACCCTGTCTTGCTGTAGAAATTGATTGGCCTTCAACTATGAATAAGAATTCTGGGGAAAAGAAATCTGAATTCTGGATGTTTATTTGGAAAGAAAATACTTCAGGTTAATGTTATGAATTATCAATACAACATCCATTATATGTAATATATCATTCACATTCCAATCAAAAAGCTCTAAATTCTCATGTAGTTATGACACTGTTTTGGGAGCTGTCCAAGAGAAATTAGCATTGAATTGCTGTTCTCGAAGACCAAAAAAAGTATATAACTACTCTCATCATACATCATTAATGGGATTGTACAAGGGTACAATTTATTTGGGGGGGGAATGGGCCTTATATAAAATTTAAAAATGTACATTCTGTGACTGGGAATCAAACCGTGACCTTGAGTTGTGGGCTCAATCCCCAGTGTGGGGGCATGATGATTCTCATCATTGATGTTTCTATCTCCCCGAGAGAGTGGAAGTGAGGGTGGGAGAGAGAGCAAGAGAAACATGGACGTGAGAGAGATACATCTATTGTTGCCTCTTGCACACACCCTGACTGGGGCCAGGGATGGAACCTACAACTGTGGTACGTGCCCTTGACAAGTTGTGGGCTCAATCCCCAGTGTGGGGGCATGATGATTCTCATCATTGATGTTTCTATCTCCCTCCCCCTCTCCCTTCATCTCTGAAATCAGTAAAAATGTATTTTTAAAAAAATGTACATTCCCTTTTACATAACAGTTTTACTTCTAGGAATTTATCCTTTAAGTATGCTAATACACAAGGATATTTACTATAGCATCATTTATAGTAACAAATGACTAGAAACAACCTAAATGTTTATCAATAAGTGACTGATTAAAATATATATCTATACTAAAATCCTTACAAAGAATGAAGTATATCTACTTCTACCTTAATGTAAACAGTCTCCTGGATATATTAAGTGAAAAACAAGATTTAATATTTTTAGTATACAATAATTGTGTAAAAACAGAAACGGGCACAAGCATTCTTATGCTTGTATAGACATAAACTCTGGAAGGATACACAATATTTCTTCTGAGATTCTTCTGATACACTGATTTCTTCTTAGATGGGTGAGTGGAAGGCCAACATATTTTCTGTTACAAAAAATGTTTTTTAATATTTGTATCAAATATCTTAAAATACAATGTGATATATAAGCATTTGGCCATACATTGTTGCTGTAATAGCTTATATTCTTTGGTGAGGTCTTTTGTGTACATGGTTTGGTATTTGTGCTTTTGAATTTGAGGGGTCTGTCAGTTGGCGTTTGGACCTAGGAATAAGGAAAGGAGCAGTATTGTACTTTTAGGGTAGAGTGGATACTGGTAGAAGTTTCAGGTAACAGTTGAAGAAAAAGCCGAATATCGTTTTAAAAAAGAATATTAAAAAATATAGAGTATTAAAATGGTTACTATTAAAATGGTTTATTCTGCCTCACAAAAGCAGAAGATCCAGAAAAGGAAAATTAAATGGGAACTTGAAAGCATTTTGGAATTAGGAATGTGCATGGAAATGGGAAACAGAGAAGGGAGATGAAAGTCCCCAGGGAACTAAAACCATTTTATAAACATGATCTCATCTCTAAACTATACCCTTTTGTAAAAAGTTATTTTCCAGACTTTCAAAAACAAAGAAATTGAAGCCTGTGTAACATAAGAAGAAAATAGCAAAATGAGGAATAGATTGTTTTCTTGATTTCTAATCTAGCCCTACAATTATTCTGAGATCATTGAACCTTGGTACAAATATAGCAACAAAAAACAAAGCAAACTTAAAAAAAAATCTGTTTCGAACTTGATGTGTAAAAGCATTTGTTTCCACAGTAAGGTTTTGTTTTTCGGCATCCCGTCTTAGGAGATGAAGGTGGGACTAGACATTGAAAGAAAGCTTTTGCACATTACACTACCATTTCTTTTTATTATGAGTCATTCTGGTTCAGAAAAAGGAAGGATAATGAAAATATTAACATTTGCAAAGCCTTTTACAGTTTTAAAAGCTTTTTTTCACATATTGTTTTCTTATTTTACAGTTGTTCCATGATACAGGTTGTGGTGATGTTTTGTTATTTTTATTAGTCTTTCACTGTTAAAGAAAAAATACGCCCAAGGAAAGTTGGGTAATTTGCCTGAGATAACATAGCTGATAAGTGTCAAAGCTGACCTTCACAAAATTGAACTCAGATTTATTTTTTTCTTTCTACTCAAGCATAAGCGCTTATGAGGTAGATTTACTTAGCTTTGTGGAAACCAATTTTGGGTGGGACAGCAATCAAGAAAACATTTGGGAGCCTAAAACTTCAGAGCAGAGTGGTTCAATAAGTAGATGGTATTGGGGACAGATGAGGCTCTGACCCTCCTGAGTGCAGGTCCAGCTGATGTCCTTCTGTTCCTTTTCATATGAAGAGAGAAGGGGAGTATTGAGAAAGGATGATGACTGGATATAATACAATTTGATAAGAACTTGCCAGCATTAACCGAAGAATCCATTTCTTAAAAATTCTTAAAATCATTTCTAAGACTAATTTCATTTGATCCATTTAAAAATACATACGAAATTTGAGCAAACCAATTATATTAATGTCTAGCTTCTTGTCTACATACCTAGAATTATGGGTTAAGATTGCTGATGCCACCTATATATAATTGGCTAGAACATGTAGCTTTTCTTTCTTGCTCTAGGATTTTTGTGTTTTATTCATGTAAAATTGTATCTTGCCCTGGCTGGTTTGGCTCAGTGGATAGAGTGTTGGCCTGTGGACTGAAGGGTCCCGGGTTTGATTCCGGTCAAGGACACATGCGCGGGTTGTCGGTTTGATCCCCAGTACAGGGCATGCAGGAAGCAGCTGATCAGTGATTCTCTCTCATCATTGATATTTTTGCCTCTCTCTCCCTCTCCCTTCTTTTCTGGGAAAAAAAAAATTTTTTTTAAAGAAAAAAAGAACCCTGATCTCTGGGTTCAGAGGCTACGCTCATCCACTGTGCCATGTTACCTGGGCTACAACCTATAATCTTGAATCAATAGTTTATTGTGAAGAGTTGGATAGTTACAACTAAAAATTCTTTTTCTCTTAGGAAGTTGCAGTAGGGAATATAGAGAAGGTTTGTAGGAGTTTTGGGTCTCAAACACATTGGTTACAGCAACTATATTGCCAGGATTTAATGTAGCCAATACAATTTAGGGCTCTTTATTTGTGGACATTTAGGATTACCTCTGTGTTATTTTGTCCAGTAATATAGTGTAGTTGACTCTGTTGAAAGTCATGCCTTAAATATTGAAGTGCCTTTTTTTCTTGTGTATTTGTAGTGGTAGCCGCTCCTCTAAAACATTTAAACCAAAGAAGAACATACCAGAAGGTTCTCATCAGTATGAGCTCTTAAAGCATGCAGAAGCCACACTTGGCAGTGGCAATCTGCGGATGGCTGTCATGCTTCCTGAGGGAGAAGATCTCAATGAGTGGGTTGCAGTGAACAGTAAGTAGCCTTTCTATTTCGAAGAAGACTCTAAATTAGATTAGTAGCCTCATTATAGGTGAGTGTTAGGGTGCTGTCTATTCTGGAACCTAGTTAGCAACCTAATATCACAGTATAGTGATAGCTCAATCCACTTTAGCCTTTATGTTACCAGTATTTTATTCTCAATATAGAGTTTCCTAAAATTCTTGTTTCTGTTATAATGACATACAAAGCATAGATTTACCATCTTTAGTGGAAAAAAATAATCACAGCAATTAATATTTATGAAACACTAATTATGTGACTGGCACTCTGCTATCCTGTCTACATGCATTATTTTATTCATATTTGGAACCTTATGATGTAGGTACTATGATTATTCCAATTTAAGACCTAAGGAAGCTGAGACAGAAAGATGAGTAATCTGCTTAGGTCATGCAGCTGTTAAGTGGCAGACCCTGAGCTCTAATATGCAGCTATAGAATTTTAGAGTCTGCACTTTAAGCACTCTGCTGAATTGCCTCTTTCAGTAGCATACTCAGTTATCTAAGTTAATGCTATTTTTTTAAAAAACAAGTCACTAGTGATTTGTGAAATTAATAAAATACATTTATGAGAGTCTTAGCACCAAGGAAGAAAAACATGTAAGTAAAAAGTAAATGTATTCTTGGAAATTAAGCCAGAGAAAGTTGGGGAATAAAAGCGGTACTTTTAATATTCAGGGTTTTTCAGCATTGGTGAAGAAACTATCAGAATTTAATAATTGGAGTAATTTATGTGAATCTAGCAAATAAAATGAAATTTAATTGAAAATATACACTATATGTCAAGGCTTTGATTAAGAAAAAACAAAACAATATTTTTCTTGTAATATGTGATGTTATTATAATTTGAAATATATCATTGGATTTATAAATTGAGCAGCTACCCACTAATAACTTTTAGAAATCTAAAGGATTTTATTACTGAGGTGTCTAAAAATGTTACTGTGACAGCATTTGCATACAAGTAGTATTTATTATAATGTGGTTATCTTCCTGGACCCAGAGGGTTTAGTTACTAAAGAAGTAAAGTGATTTTCGCTTTACTGGTCATCTTACCTATAAGATGGTTCTGTGACACTTCAAAATAATATGCAGAATAAATTTCCAATTGATTATGTGCATTCTTTTTTTGCACTTGTTTGTGCCTTTTTTGTATCATTTACTTGAGTATCATTTACTTGATAACTCGCTTATTTTAAAAATCTAAGGAAGGCAGCATAGAGCTTCTGTACCACATGAGATTCTTACTTGTAAGTATAAAAACAGATCATCAATTTCTGCCTGTATTCTCTGTCTCAATTGCCAGAACAGTGTCTGTACTACTGAAATGTCTAGAACTTCAGGAACTTTTAAAATTTCACAGGCATTTTGCAATTATAGCTAGACAAAAATTACTTTGAACTGGAGCTTCAGAGTGTCCCCTTAGAACAGAAATTCTGCCTTGAAAATACAGCATTTGACTGAAGTATTGGGTTTTAAAATTTTCCTTAATTATAGTAATCTTCCCAAATGACTATGGATGAAGAAAAGAGGATTTGAGACTAGATATTTCCACTCACTTACAGTGGTTAAATAAACATTTTGGGTACATAAGAGAGTGAAGGGAATTTATTGATAAGATTGGTATATTAATGGCTTTTTGGCTTCAGTTCACCTGCCAGGTGAAGATAAATGGTCGAAGATGGGAAATCTTTACAAATTCAACAACTGGTCTCACAGCCAGAAACCAAAGCCTGCTTTTGAACATTCTGCTGCTAGAAAGAGTGGTAGCTTAAAGAAGACAGAAGGTTCAGGGTTCTGGAAAAAGCTGGATGGATGGCTTATAAATAATTTATGTGGCACCAAATTCTGAGGTCATATATTAATTTGTGGAAGGAAATGAATATTTATTAATGCCCATTTAATGTTGGCCATATATATTTTTAACTAGAGTCCCGGTGCATGAGATTCATGCACTGGTGGTGGTGGTGGGTGGGGGTGTGAGGTGTCCCTCAGCCCAGCCTGCACCCTCTCCTATCTGGGACATCCCTCTCACAATCCAGGACTGCTGGCTCCCCTCCCCTGCACGCCTGTTCCGCCCCGCCCCCAACTGCCCTCCCCTGCAGTACTGGTTCCCCACAACTGCCCTCCCCTACAGGCCTGATTGCCCCCTACTGGCCTCCCTGCGGGCCTGGTCGCTCCCAACTGCCCTGCCCTGCAGGCCTGGTCCTCCCCCAAATGCCCTCCCTTGCTGGCCTGGTCGCCCCTAACTGCCCTCCCCTGCTGGCCATCTTGTGGCCACATGGGGGTGGCTATCTTGTGTGAGGGTGTGATTGTCAATTTGCATATTACTGCTTTATTATATAGGATGCTCCATAATAAACCCAATTTTAAAGGTAGGGAACTGAGGTTCAGGGAGATTAAGTAACTCACCTGGAGTTGGGATTCAGACTTATCTTATTTCAAAGCTAAAAGTTGCCCTCTGTTCTTGGGGAGGACAACTTAAGAATTAAGTTGCAGAGTCATTACTTAGTAAATCTTGACTCTTTATGAGGTAAGAGGGAAGAGAAAAACTTGTACAATTAAATTTTGTGTAATGCTCATTAATGTTCTACTTTCATAAGCAATTATGACTTCTTTTGAAGTCAGTTTTTTTCTTTGCTATAGAAAGTCTGAAATTTAAAAAGCAAAGTGCTGGTCATGGGTAATTAATGGGATGAAAAAGGGGATTTTAGGATTCTAAATAAAGAGGGAACAGGGGTTAGTTCAAAGTCACCATATGTAATATTTATCCTTGAATAGTGGGTACGGCAAAAGTAGGTTGAAACTAAAAAGTTAAACACTAATCTAAAGAAAGCTGATATAATCATATTAATATCAGACAAAGTAGACTTTAAGGCAAAAAAAACCCACCACAAAACAATAAAGAGGAAGAGTTTAAAATGATAAATGGTTCACTTCACAAAGAATTTATGGTTTCTGAATTTAGGTCTCTAATTATGTCTATAAAATAAAACTGCTGACTGAACAGAAGAAATAGACAAATCCACAGCCATAATGGGAGATTTAAACACTTTTATTAATGGATAGAATGAGGAGGGAAAAAAAAATCAAGAAGGAATTAGAAAAATGTAAGCCATTTTTAATAGACTTGATTAATAGACTTGACCTGAGGGACATGTGGCCTAACCACCTCAGATTACACATAGGTGCATTTAAAAAATTGAAATGATTGAAATGATATAATACAGTTTTTGACCATAGTGGAATTTAGCTAAAAATCACTAATAAAAGCTAGGAAATCTGTATATGTTTAGAAAGAACACTGATAAATCTAGGTTCTGCTTAGTAAAATTAAATATTTTACTTATAACTGATATTTGCTTTGCAGCTGTGGATTTTTTCAATCAGATCAACATGCTTTATGGAACAATCACAGATTTCTGTACAGAGGAAAGTTGTCCAGTGATGTCAGCTGGCCCAAAGTAAGATGTGGTTCATGATCAGTTCTCATTTTTACTTTATTTTATAGTTCATAGATAAGAAGATAGTTAATTTCTGTACTTAGCATCCCCTTTGCTGGCTTACCAGTGAGTAATATAGTAAGTTCAGATTCCTTAGCCAGAACTTTATGAACCTTCCTGTATTGTCCTCCATCCTGCCTTTCTTCTGTTAACTTACACATCTCCTCTGGTCTATCCAGACAAGATTACAGAAAATGCCTTGCTTGCTATTCCCTCGATTAGCTATACTCTGAAAACTTGTTCATTCCGTTCTTATCTTAGATATTTTGCTTCTCATGTCCCTCTTATCTTTTGCTTGCATTTCCAAAAATCTTACCCATCTTCAAGGCCCACATCAGGTACTTCCTTCTCCATGAAACCTTCTGATTTCTTCATACTAAATGTGATCTTTCTATTTAACTTTTTTGTCGTTACAATTTTATTTCTTTGTTACATTATGATTATATAGTGGCCCAGTGCATGGATTCGTGCACATTAAAAGGAAATTAATTAGAAGAAATATTTTAATATCACTATTTGCCTTTCTCTATTACAGAAGTGTCAGAGTTGAAAGAAAATTAGTAAAATCTATATGAAAATAATATATAAATTGATTAATAAATAACAACATGCTATAACAACATGATATAAAAACAACATGATATAAAAACAACAAAAACATGATATAAAAACATTGTTAAAAATAAGGACTGATAAATTGATTAAACATCTTCTAATATTTCCCTGTATATCACATTAAGAGTAAAAACACTTTCAGAGTGCTTGACTAATTTTCCTTGTGATGAAGTATTTACAACTTTAATGTCACATGCTCTTCAAACTCAAGAGAAAGCAACATGTAACTGACTATGTCTGAAAACGGGTTCAGGTAGGAATATTCCTACTCTGTCTACAGTTTGTCCTTGTGATTTATTAATAGTCATTGCAAATGCTGGCATCATGGGAAACTATCTTCAAATTAATATAAATGGGAGGCCAGATGGGGAAAAATCAGTTCTTGGAATCATAACAATCTGCTCCTTCCACAGATCCTGTTAATACTTCAGCTTTGATTATGTTAGGTTGCAAAGACCCCATTTACTATTAAGATTTCTCAGTAGCATGATGATTGCATCTACTTTCAATTTTAATTTATGACATGGCATTCCCGAAGGAGTAATACTATTAAAATTCGATGGGAGCTTTATATGTATCCCGTATGTGCGAGTCAACTTTTACTTTTAAATTGCCAGTGCGTGTCATATGTACCTGTCGGTCAGTTGGTCGGCAGTCAGACAGATGTACGGTCAGTCACTTAGTCTTTTATATGTATAGATTATTCATACATGTCTTATTTAACCTGTCAGATTGGTTCTTCTTTTAAATCTCTTTTGATCAAGAATAGTCAGTGCCTGTCATCTAGTTACCAGTCAATAAATGTTGCTTTGATAACTTTTTGAAACTGGATTTTATTATGAATATAGCTGACAATAACAATGCCAGCTACCATTTATTCAGTAATACCTAAATGTAAGGCCTTTATACAGCAAACCAATAAAGTAAGAAAACTATTGTTATCCTCATTTTACAGGAAAATAAATTGAGTCTGAGAAAAGTTAAGTAACATGTGCAAGGGTCCTGTTATCCAAAAACAGAACCAGGTCTCTGTCATCCAGGACTCTTTGACTCTAGTGTGACTGTACTCTTAATTGCTACATTGTGTTATCTATATATATAAAAGCCTAAGCAACTGTTACAACTGAATGACCAGAACGCTTGGTCGACCAGTCGCTATGACGCACACTGACCACCAGGGGGCAGATGCTCAATGCAGGAGCTGCACCCTGGTGGTCAGTGTGCTCCCACACCCAACCTCCTGCGGCCAGCCAGCCTCCAGTGGTCCCTCCCACTGGTTGGCTGGTCCCGATTGGCCCTGATCACCAGCCAAGCAGAAGGACCCCACCCATGCACGAATTCGTGCACCGGGCCCCTAGTTTTCTAATAAGAATATGAATTGATATTTATAAACTGTATATAGAGAGGTTTTATTTTTAGTGCTGACTTTTTATAAAATATGTTCTCTCCCCCCAATTATAAACAAAGCATAAATATCAAAACAAAACAAGCTGTCCAAACTTACTAGTGTATAGAAATAGTAGTAGTAGTAGTAACCTTAGATTGCTAATCACTTGTTGTGCTGTTTTCATTGCTCAGAATATTTTTGCTAACTTTTAAATTACAGTGTCAGATCACTAGCTACCCAAGAGATTCAATTTTATTACTGCATAGTAATAATTTATCTATTGACCAAATTCATATATTGAACAAAGTATTACCTAGAGTGGTCTGCTTTCTTCCTCAAATTGACTCTAAATGTGTTTAGATGTTTCTCAGAAGCAAGTCCTTTAAAAAAAATTGACAGTTTTGTCATGGTCAAACATGTTCAAAATAATATGCTTTGAATATTTCCTGTGATAATTTTTTTGAAAAATAACTTATTTTCAAACTATTTCAGACTTTGAAACTTCAAATAATTTCAAATGTATAGAAAAGTTTCTAGAACATCACAGAGCACTCCCATATCTTTTTTATCCAGATTCCTCAATTATTAACTTGCATGCTTCATAACTCCTCTCTATGTGTATAGTCATTAACATTAATTTTTTTCTGAATCTTTTGACTAAATTATAGATATTATGCTAATCCCTTTATGCCTATATATTCAACTGTGTATTTTCTAAAAGCAGGAATACTCTTCTATACAACCAGCATATAAATTCTCTAAACCACTTCTTCCAGTTCATAGACACCATTCACATTTCACCAGCTATCTCAATAATATCTCAGTTTTTCATTTCTGCTCCGGGATCCTGTCTATGAATATGTATTGCATTTATTTGAGGTATCTCTTTAGGTGCCTTCAATCTGGAATAGTTCCTAAGTCTTTCCCTGTATTAGTCTTTGTGCATAAAAGAGTGAATATAGCAGGCCTGACTGTAATCTCTTAAAAGGCCTAATTATCCTAATTACCTTATCATGTTAGTGTCTGCAAGGTTTTTTCACCTCAAATTAGTCATTTTCTTCCCCTTTGTAATTGATTAGCATTTTATTGGGAGGTTTTCTGATATTACACCAATATCCCATTCCTGTGAATTAGGGAGAATTACTGCCACTTAGATTACAGCTCTGATCATTTTCCCACAGAAATCTTATCTACATAGCTGGTATAGGAACAATGTACCTAATTATTTAAAAGTAAGAGGTGCCCTAGCTGGTTTTGCTCAGTGGATAGAGTGTTGGCTTGTGGACTAAAAGATCCTGGCTTCAATTCTGGTCAAGGGCACATGCCTGGGTTGCCGCTCAATCCCCAGTAGGGGGCGAGCAGGAGGCTCCTGACCAATGATTCTCATCATTGATATTTCTATGGCTCTCTCCCTTCCTCTCTGAAATCAATATATTAAAAAAAAAAGAGCCAAAGGATCTCTATAAAGATACTACAGAAATGAAAAATGATCTCCCTCCTTCCCTTCCTCTCTCCTTCCTTCCCTCTCTCCCTCCCTCCCTTCCTCCCTTCTTCCCTTCTCCGGCTTTTCCTTCTTCTATCCTTAACCTTAAGTTAAAAACCCCAAGTTGTAAAGAATTGCACTGCATAAGGAGAAATATTTTTGAAGAAAATAGCCATAAAAACGTTAAGGATGATCATCATAGAAGTGGGAAGGAAGTAAGCTAGGTTTTCTATGACAATGTATGATTCTAAAATTTAAATTCTATATATGAAAGAAAGTTGTATAATCAAATTAAAACATGGGAGGAAAGCATTGAAACACAAAAAAATGAGTTTACTGAAATCTGCTTAGTTTGTGTCATAATAAATGCAAAAGAGTACAGTAACCATTTGAAATCATTAAATTGAAATGCCAAATGTGGCCCTGGTTAGGTGTTGTCCCTATATGCCAAGGTTGCAGGTTCGATCCCTGGTCAGGGCACATAAAAGAATCAACCAATGAGTGCATAAATAAGTGGAACTACAAATCGATACTTCTCTCTCTCCCCCTTCTCTCTCTAAAATCAGTAATAAATAAATAAATGAATAAATGAAAGCTAAATGCAAAAATCTTTATTTGGAGGAACATATTGTTTAAAACATGTCCTGTATTAATTCATAATGCACATATATGTATCATATAAAAATATACAAACTGTTTATGGGTATATACTAATATTCTGTGTGCTTTTTATCTTTCTAATACAGATATGAGTATCATTGGGCAGATGGAACAAACATAAAGAAGCCCATTAAGTGCTCTGCACCAAAGTATATTGATTACTTGATGACTTGGGTTCAGGACCAGTTGGATGATGAGACATTATTTCCTTCAAAAATAGGTATAATTGTTTTGTATAATTGGAATTGATCATGATTTATCTAATTTTATGTTTCTAGGATTTATTTTCTCTCTATTCCAGGAACCATACTAGATTACAATATTTATCAAAATATTTCTAATCTTATACATTTAAAAACATCCTATCTTTTCATACCAGTTTATCATTATCATTAAGATAAACCTTATATTTTAATCAATGAGAAATTAGTGTACCTCAGACAGTAAGAAAATCTGGCCCATGTTATGGAAAAAAAAAAAGACTGGTTATTGGGTTGGCAGCCAATATCTGCAACAGTCATATCCATTTTTTGTTTAGGGAAGGAGCTTGTATGGCTTATATGAAGTTTTACATTATATTTGTGGCAAAGAGGGAGTTTTAATTTATGACCAATGGTGTGAATTTTACAGACTGAAATCAAACTAGGTGAGAAGAAAACACTATTTGAAGGGTTGGCTGGTTAGTAACTAACTTTTGCTTTTTCATATTAAAAAAAAAATGATTTGAGAGAGAGAGAAGAAGGGAGAAGAGAGAGAGAAACATTGATTTGGTGTTCCACTTATTTATGCATTTATTGGTTGTTTCTTATATGTACCCTTGTATGAGTTTGTTGAGATCTGCTTAGTTTGGGTGATAATAATTACAAGAGTCCAGTAACCAGGTTTGGAGTTTGAATTTGAAACCTTTGCTTATTGGGACGATGCTCTAACCAACTGAGCACTCCGCCAGTGCCTTTCATATTTGTTCTTAAGAGTCAGCCTTTCAGGTGGAAATTTTTCACATTTGGACAGTTAACAAGATTTTACCTTCTCAAACTCCTTACAACTGTGTTTTCTTAAAAAACTAAGAATTTTTTCTTCTAGCAATAAATAACTTTTTGTCTATATTTTATGCTCTTAATTTTTGGAGAATTGGTATGGTGGAGGAGAGACAGTAATATAAATAGTTGTTATTATGGATTGTTTTAACACATTTATTGAATGATTTTACTGCTTTGTAGCATTTGTAATTAAAGGTCTATTTTTCAAGGTGTTTTATTTGTATATCGTAATGGTTTTGGATAAGTGCCTTCAACTTATCTTTTATCTGCTATATGTATAGGGTGGGACAAAAGTAGATATATAGTTGTGAGTATGTGAAACACAGAGTTTATTCTTGTATTATTACTTATTAACTAGTGGCCCAGTGCACAAAATTTGTGTGTGTGGGGGGGGTGGTTCTCTCAGCCCAGCCTGCACCCTCTCCAATTGGGGACCCCTTGGGGGATGTCCGACTGCCGGTTTAGGCCCAAAAACCGGCAGTCGGACATCCCTCTTGCAATCTGGGACCGCTTGCTCCTAACTGCTCACCTGCATGCCTGATTGCCCCTAACCTCTCTGCCTGCCTGATTGCCCCTAACTGCCCTTCCCTGCCGGCCTGATCTTGCCCCCAACTGCCAGATCAGAGAAATGGGCCTGATCAACAGCCCCCCTGTGGAGGCCCGGAGAGAAACAGAGGCGGGGCTGCTGGTGAAGCCTGGAGAGAAAGAGAGAGGCAAGGGCTGATCAACAGCTGCCACGGAGGCTGCGGATCAGACCCTGCCTCTCTCTCTGTGGGCCTCTCTCTGGGCCTGATCTGCAGCCCCCTCGGGAGTCAGTGCTGGGTCGCCATGGCAACCTAGCACTGACTGCAGGACTGACTTCCAGTGTTTGACCTCCAGTCGGTCGTTATGGGCCCTGTGTTTTTATATATTAGGATTACTGTATTATTTTTCATATGAAGAACTGTAAACCTACTTTTGCCCCACCCTGCATTTTTAACATTTATTTTTGACTGAATTTTAAGACTTTTTTGAAAATTTTAAGAATGTTTCATATAAGATACACCTTTATCCATTTGTGCTTCAATGTGTATTTCCTTAGAAAATCACAGCATAATTATCAAAGTCAGGAAATTAACACTGATACAATTGTTGTGTAATTTACAGATGTTATTTAGATTTTCCAAATTTTCCCAATAATATTCTTTACAATGAAAGAAAATTTTGACCAGACAATTTTTCATGTGGTTGTCATGTTTCATTAGCCCTCTTTAATGTAGAGTATGTATACATCAGTCTTTTGTGGACTTTCATAACTGATCATTTTGAAGTGTGTAAGCATGCTATTTAGCATCCCTTTATTTTGGTTTGTGCTATGTTTCCTTGTGACTTATAATATCTATATATGTAAAAGCCTAAGAGACCAAATGACCAAACGACCGGTCGACCAGTCGCTATGATGCGCACTGACCAGCATGGGGCAGATGCTCAATGCAGGAGCTGCCCCCTGGTGGTTAGTGCGTTCCCACAGCCCACCTCCTGCGGCCAGCCGGCCAACCTCCTGTGGTCCCTTCCCCCTGACCAGCCAACCTCCCGTGGGGATTTGCCAAAACCTGGCAGTCTGACATGCCCTGAGGAGTCCTGGATTGCGAGAGGGTGCAGGCCAGTGCACAAATCCATGCACTGGGCCTCTAGTATATAAATATATTTTAATCCTCACCCGAGAATGTTATTTTTTTTTTATTTTTAGGAAGGGAGAGAAACATCAGTGTCAGAGAGAAACTGATTGGTTGCTTCCCATATGCACCCCGACTGGGGATGGAACCTATGGCTTAGGTATGTGCTCTGACTAGGAATCGAACCCAGAACCTTTTTGGTTTATGGGATGACGCTCCAACCAACTGAGCCACCCAGCCAGGGAATGACCAGTCATATTTTTATTTATTAAATATATTTTTATTGATTTTTAGAGAGAGAGAGAAGGGAGAGGCATAGAGATAGAAACATCGATGACAGAGAAACATCACTGATAGGCTACCTTCTGTGGGCATTGAGCCCACAAGGGGCATGTGCCCTGACTGGGAATCGAACCAGTATCTCCTGGTTCATAGGTCGATGCTCAACCACTAAGCCACATTGGCTGGGCCAAGCGAATTATTTTTAGTGTACCAATGTAATTTGT